GAGTATAATTTTTTCTCAGTTGCGACTCTGTCCTTTGACGGAGTCTCCCCTAAGTGCACTCTGCCCAAAGACAGAGACGCAACTGAGAGATGATAAATAGATGTGTTACAAACCACTTCAAAGAGCGATTTACACACTTACGACTATACGTTATCTGAATCAAAGATAGATATACTAAAATTATTATACACTTGCATAAAAAGAGCAATATTTTGCGGTTTTTCAATTGGGCTTGGAATCCGTTCATTTCTTGGAACTTCAAACGGATCTCACCTTGAATTTGGAACGTCATAAATCGTACTAATGTTTAACAAGTCGAATGCAAGTGAAACCGGATTAACCAACGAAAATAAAACAACACAAAAACAAAAATAACAGAATTTCTTTCTTCTTTTTCTCCATATCCCATTCTCTGACGAAGCTTTAATAAAAGTGAAACATGTTAGACGAATAAAAATTTCCTATTTGTTCTTTATCTCATCATATATGCACTCATATATAAAATGTATGCGTGCGATATATATATATATATATATATATATATATATATATATATATATATATATATATATATATATATATTTATATATATATATATATATATATATATATATATATATATATATATATTAAAAACACACACCACTTTAGGTTCCATGTAATAAATTATTTCACCACAGCCTTTTTTTTTCATTTTTTGTTTGGAAGTAAAGTCTGATGATCCGCAGTCCTTTTAAAAGGGTTGTGGTGAAATAATTTATTACATGGAACCTTAAAGTGGTCTGTTTTTATTTAAATTATTTGCTCTGAATTTACATTGAGCTCTCTGGATTTTATCCTCCTTAGGTTTACCCATACGGATTACCTAGTTTTTCATAAACTATATATATATATATATATATATATAGATAGATAGATAGATAGATAGATGATCTACTTATAGACAGACGCATATGCAATGCATATATTCTTGGTTGTCAAGTCTATGTACACCAGTTTTATTGGATTCGATTGTGTCGAAAAGTGTGGTTGGTTCTGCACAAGCATTCACCGCTATAGTCAAATTATATGTGCGGATTACCTGGCTGTTCGGTTCTAAGAACTGAGATATTTGAACCTTCATCTATCGAAAGAGACGGGAGATTCCAGTACACACACACACACACACACACACACACACACACACACACACACACACACACACACACACATATATATATATATATATATATTCACAGGTGTTTATGAGATGTTTAAAAACTGTAGAGATAAGCAGGAACTATCTTTGTATTTCCATGTATTTTAAAAAGAGAGAAAAATTTAATTACGTGAAGCTCGGTATTACTTTTGTAGGAAGTAAGAATTACCATGATTGGAGCTATAGGTTGCATTTACGATAACACACGGACACACACAATAGTGTCACTTATAAACTTATGGATGACTATAATGGTAAATATATGTAACTTTAATCGATAATAAGAAAGAAGTGAATAAAGAAGAAAACTATATTTGAATTGCAAGTGAAACAGCGAAAGGTCGTTTGGTTATAAGCTACTTTAAATATTCTCAATTACTGGATGATTTATGAATTTTCATGCTATCAGCCTATTTTGTTCAAAAAGTTGCTTGATCGTGAATGTCACCATGAAGAACAAGAAGCAAAGAAATAACGACAACAATAATGATAATGTTAATATTAACAACCATAACAATACAGTCTTCTTTTTAAACTCGCAACCTTGTATTCAAGTCATCAAGAAATATTTATTTTACGCTTTTTTTTTATCTCATTTTTATTTATTTTGAGTTTTCTTTCTGTCTCTATGCTTTTTTTTTATTTTCCTCTGGAAAACAATTCATAACTTTTTCATTTATTCTTTTTACTCTCATCTTTTCCAAATTTTCCACAGGGCCCGATCATTTATCTCTTTCATGTTTTACCTATTATGAAAGCTTTACAAACGCCATGATTCTTTTTTATTTTCGTTTTTCTGTCATTATTATTATTATTATTATTATTATTATTATTATTATTATTATTATTATTATTATTGCACTAATTTCATACGCGTATTGAAAGCAAGGATGAACTGAAAATGAGAGAAAAAATGGAGAAAAGCGTAAAAGAAAAATGGCAGAGAAATGGTAAGAAAATGAATAAATAAAAAAAAAAAAGACAGAATGCAAAAGATTGGGGATGTAAAAATAATAATAGAATTATCTGTCAGCATCGTTACAACGGCCTTTAAGCTATTAACGCTACCTCCTTCGAATCTTTTCATACCTCCATTTCTCGAGACTATACCATTGTGGAAGAGTGTGTGAATATTGGACGCTCGACCGGCCGCCGCGGTGAACATCACATCAACAGGAAGTTGATGGGCTGGCCTTCACAAATTGATGAATAAAGATGAATGTAGTCAGTTAGTGTCGCATAGATGAATAAATCGCTATCTACCTTCCAAACTCTTTCTTTCTCTCTCTATCTTGTAATCCTCTTCTAATATTTGTAGATTGTTTCAATCTCTACCTTTCATAAATTTCTTTCTTTCGTTTCGCTTCTTCTTTTCATTCATGTTTTTCCCCTATCCTTCTTACCTTTCTCTTACTTCCGGCTTTCTTCTCGCCTCTCTCACGCTTAGTACTTCTCACCCTCTCTCTTATTCTATTATTTTATCTTTCTCTTTATTGTTCGTATGGAAACATATCCTTCTCTCTATCACTGACTTATTTTACTTCTCTTTATTAATTCCTTGTATTTTTACCTTCTCTTTTCTGTTCATTTCTCTCGCCATATATTTTTTTCTCTTTCTTTCAATCTTGAAACATCTCATGCGTTCATTCATTTATTTTTTTAATTATTTATAATGATTTTATTTTCATTTCCCGATCTTCTTTTACTTTTTTTCTCTAATTTCTGTTTCTTTTTTTTTGTCAAATTATCTTTTCTCTTTTTCCGTCTTTCCTTCTCCTTCTATTTATACCATTTCTCTCTACACTTTTCTCTCCCCCTCTTTCTCCCAGTCTCGCACACTTTCTCTCTCCCTCTCACTTTTCCTACATAAGGAAACATACAGTGAAATACAATCATACTCACTCACCAGGCTGTTCTGATCAATCGCGATTTACGTGGGTTAACTGTGAAGTAACAGCATAATCATCGCCAAAATTTTAACAACGTGTCTTACCTCGGGCAACCGAAAAGAAAGAACGAGGCAGCAATGGCCAGCTCTATTAATTCTTGGAATATGTTGCTGACCGCCGCAGGGTATTAGTGAGCCGAATTCTCCGTCCATCCCTGCCCCTTCCTCTTATCCGCACTCTGACGGCGCTGTGGTGTCAATTAGAGAACGCAACGGGATGCCCGTTTTTCTCCATCAAAATATCAGTCCATAAGCATTGCGTTATTATGATAGACTTTTTGTGCTTTCTATCTTCGGCCGGTTACTTCGCTTGACATTCTGATACCGTCTTTTATGGATCAAACTTTTTTTTTTCTTTTGTCATCATTTGCTTATATCTTTTTCCGTATTGAATGCTTTTCTTTTATCCTTTCTTTCCTCAATTCTTTTCTCGTTCTCCTTATTCCTTTCTTTGCCTTTCTTTTTCTTGTTTAATCTTTCATATTATCTCTCAGCATCTCATTATATTCTATCTATCTATCTATCTATCTATCTATCTATCTATCTATCTATCTATCTATCTATCTCATTTTCTTCATTATCTATCTATCTATCTATCTATCTATCTATCTATCTATCGCATTTTCTTCATTATCTATCTATCTATCTATCACATTTTCTTAAATATCTATCTATCTATCTATCTATCTATCTATCTATCTATCTATCTATCTATCATATTTTCTTAAATATCTATCTATCTATCTATCTATCTATCTATCTATCTATCTATCTATCTATCTATCTATCTATCTATCGCATTTTCTTAAATTTTCTAATATCTATCTATCTATCTATCTATCCATCTATCTATCTATCCATCTATCTATCGCATTTTCTTAAATATCTATCTATCCATCCATCTATCCATCTATCTATCCATCTATCTATCACACATTTTTCTTAAATATCCATCTATCTATCTATCTATCTATCCATCTATCTATCTATCTATCTATCTATCTATCTATCTATCGCATTTTCTTAACATCCATCTATCTATCTATCTATCTATCTATCTATCTATCTATCTCATTTTCTTCATTATCTATCTATCTATCTATCTATCTATCTATCTATCTATCTCCATCTATCTCATGTTCTTCAATATCTATCTATATCTATCCATCTATCTATCATATTTTCTTAAACATCTATCTATCTATCTATCTATCTATCTATCTATCTATCTATCTATCTATCTATCTATCATATTTTCTTAAATATCTATCTATCTATCCATCTATCTATCCATCTATCTATCTATCATCTATCGCATTTTCTTAAATATCTATCTATCTATCTATCTATCTATCTATCTATCTATCGCATTTTCTTAAATATCTATCTATTCATCTATCTATCTATCTATCTATCTATCTATCTATCTATCTATCTATCTCATGTTCTTCAATATATCTATCTATCTATCTATCTATCTATCTATCTATCTATCATTCATCTATCTATCTATCTATCTCTGTGTTCTTCAATATCTATCTATCTATCTATCTATCTATCTATCTATCTATCTATCTATCTATCTATCTCATTTTCTTCAATATCTATCTATCTATCTATCTATCTATCTATCTATCTATCTATCTATCTATCTATCTATCTCCTTTACATCTTCTTTTTAGCTCGTCCATTTCCAATTTTTTCCTCCCTAGCATCCTCTAAAAGCGTTTGTTTCATCTCCCATTCACCATACTTTTCAATTTTTTTACCTTGCCCATTCTTTCACGTTCCATTTATTTTGTTCTTGTATCCATTTATTATCCATTTTTTTCCTCTCTTTGATATTTACCAAGTATGAATCTAAATCGAGATAAGAAGATCGTATTGCGTCAAGATTCAAAATGTGGAAATTTTCTGTTGAAAATTAGCATTTGGCAATTCCGACTTATCTGTCTCGAACATTAACAAATTGTACCAGTAAGATATATATATATATATATATATATATATATATATATATATATATATATCAGCACATTTATCCATTTTCTTTCCTGTCTTCCTTTTTACTTCATTAATTTAGCCTTTTTTTCTTCTCTTTTTTGTTTGCCCTCTCTCTCTCTCTTTCTCTTTCTCTTTCTCTTTCTCTTCTGACTCTCAACGTTCTAAATTACCCCCCCCTTCTTCTTTAACCTCCAATACTCATTTCGTGAATCTTTTTCTGCCAATCATCTCCTGCTGATTCGGATACCCGACTGCGGAATAATATAAAAGAGTGCCATACTGTTTTCGATCATTCCCGCTTCTAATTGATACCAAACTTTCTTTCTGCTTGTCGCTGAAATGTTTTATTTCACCGCCTTACTCTCCTTTCTCACAAACGTTCTTCATTTTACGTTTTATCATTTCTTAATTTTATCTTCGCTTATCAATTTACATCTTTCTAAGTTGAGGTTTTTTTCATTGAACATTTTTTGTTATTTTTATACTGTGCCTGCCGTAAACGCTTTCTGCGCTCATCAAACGTCTCCGTCTCTCCATCGTTTTCTTAACAAGTTTTACATATTATATATGATTACATTGCTTTTTTTTTCTATATTTTAATTCCTCTTATTAGTTTTAATAAATCTTTTGTTTGCTTTAATTAGGTGCCGAGCCGTGACATTCATTTGAAAAGAAATTATGGCTCCGTCTTAAGTAGTTCATCAAGACGTAAATTATATTTCCAACGCTTTTTTGGTGTTTTATTTAAACTTCATTTTTTTTCTGTTTCTTCACTGGAATTATTGATATTTACGGGACTTAGATTGGTTTAGCCTGGTACAGAATATGGAGAAATAATGATAAAAAGATTGTGTTGCGGCATTTTTTTTTTGTGTGGAGATGCTTGTTTTTCTTGAAAATCAACGTTTGGCTTCCTGGCTTTTGCTTGGACTTGCGACACCGGTAAAAAACATGCAACTATGCAAGACAACGCGAATGCATTTTCAATCTTCTTGATATCTTTGGATGTGCGGCAAGCTGTGTTCAAATTCCAGTTTCGTTCTGTTCCATTCACTTTCGCACCTTATCTATCTATCTATCTATCTATCTATCTATCTATCTATCTATCTATCTATTTCATTTACTTCAATATCTATCTATCTATCTATCTATCTATCTATCTATCTATCTATCTATCTATCTATCTATCTATCTATCTCATTTACTTCAATATTTATGCTTTCCATCTTCTTTTACCTCGTCAATTTCCAAATAGCTATCTATTTATTTCTTCAATATCTATCTATCTATCTATCTATCTATCTATCTATCTATCTATCTATCTATCTATCTATCTATCTCATTTACTTCAATATCTATCTATCTATCTATCTATCTATCTATCTATCTATCTATCTATCTATCTATCTATCTATCTATCTATCTCATTTACTTCAATGTCTATTTATCTGCTTTCCATCATCTTTTACCTCGTCAATTTCCAAATATATATCTATTTCATTTTCTTCAATATCTATCTATCTATCTATCTATCTATCTATCTATCTATCTATCTATCTATCTATCTATCTATTTCCAGCGTATCTATCTATCTATCTATCTATCTATCTATCTATCTATCTATCTATCTATCTATCTATCTATCTATTTCCAGCGTATCTATCTATCTATCAGAATCAGAATGTCAATGAAACTGATGTGAACTCTGGAGATTCCTGGATATGACGATGGAGTACATCTGGCAGCATGACCTCTGATCGGGAAATTGGATGTTTCCAGGAACTTTGAACCATCTCTTAATTGTTGTTATTCCCATGTCTACCCTGATTTGGGCTGGTCGTACCTGTTAAGGTCCCAGATATGGGCAAATAGTGCCCCCCCTCATAAATAGTCTAAACCAGTGGTTCTTAACCTTTTGATGATTCCACTGCAGCCCTTCAATTCATTTATTTTCCACCAACCTATGGGTTAAACAGCAAGGTAGTTCAGGCCCTCTAGCTGTAGGTGTCAGCCAATCTAAGAGACGGACTACTTTGAATGGAAACCTGTGTAGAAGTTAATAAATTAAAGGTAAGGCATTCACGAAGAACTCTGATAGTCCACGTCCTGAACGGACATGTCATTAGATATGTATGTTGTTTCTAATGATTTCATGGATTTTGGTTTATACGGTGACATTACTTATAATTATTTACAGAGTTTTTATCCGGACTATCGTCCTCATCTTTGTTGTTGTTATCACAACGTTTCGGTTGTTGTGCCCTCCGGCCTTCATCAGGTGTGTATCGATCTGGGTAACCTAGAGGGATTCTGAATTGAATCCTTTCTTTAATATATAAATTTCCCTAGACCCGAGCAGTTGAACGAGAACAGTCTACCCCCGTAGATTAAATAAAAAAGGTTTAGCTCGAAATTCCATATAGGTTACCCAGATTAATATACACATGAGGATGGCACAACGGCCGAAACGTTGTCATAACATCAATAAAGTTGAGGAAAATAGTCCGAATATACATAGTGTGAATTGTCAAAAATACACCTTTAAGTGCCGAATCTAGGTACGTCGTCAGTGTTGTTGCTCCCATGTCGCTAGAAGTTTCGGGTCTAAACACAGACTTAAGTTCCCCCAGAAAACGGCAAATAATCAATGATAATTCTTCATTTCAGACAGAAAATATTTGTTATAACTATAAACGTTACAGTAATTTTCCAAGAAAGCACAGATGTGGCACAAGGCCGAAATTAGGGGGCACCCAGTGAGGATCGAATTCACTACTCAGTCGCAATTGTTCTAGCGAGCCAAGCTGGCTAACCATTACACCGTCTCAAGGTGCCTCACCGATAAACGTTATATACAGTGGATGCATGTGTTTGAGTGGATTTCCCTGTTTTTAAACAATGAAATTAATGTCTACCGGCCTGGGTTTTCGGGAGTCTTGAATAAAAATAATGCCCTTAAACGCAATCTCCAGGCCACCCGTGCTTTCTTTCTTTCTTTCTTTCTTTCTTTCTTTCTTTCTTTCTTTCTTTCTTTTTCGGAATCATCACCATCATTATCAATCCGCAGGGAATCACGTGACACTGAGTTTTCTCAATTATCCAGCCCTCTCTTTAGTATGCTTACCGATTCCAGTCATGCTGGTTAGATAGTTTCAGATCACTAAATCTGCCAGTATTTAAAAAAAATAATAATTTGAAATGTGCAAGGTACTCTCAACTGTTTCAACTTCTCTGTAAGGATGACGTTTTTTTTAATTTGTCTAAATATGATTTTACACATTTGTATATTCACACCAGATACCTGTTGAGTATCGCTAGGAATTAAATAATAGCAAGTCTCCCCATGAAATTCTTTCAATTTCGCTGCTTGTATTTTTAGACATTTTACAGTGTACCAGTCATAGAAACATGCAGATCAGTGTTCAATGGTCATCTACATTTGTCCATGACAGCTTTTTAAAAACAATATCCGGGTATATCTCCCTTGGTTTTTACCTACTCTTATTTTCCTTTAAATGTCATTATTTACCCTTACATACCCTTATTTTCAACAAGCATTATCTTTACTATTGAAACTGATGTGAATACTGGAGATTCCCGGATATGACTACATCTGGCAGCATGGCCTCTGATCGGGAAATTGGAGGTTTCCGGGAGCGCGGAACCATCTGTTAATTGCTGTTATTCCCAGGTATAGCCTTATTTGGGCTGGTAGTACCTGTTAAGGTCCCAGCTATGGGCAAATAGTGCCCCCATAACTAATTTAAACACTACGAAAATACATTTTTGTATAAAAATAAGAATACATATTTTTAGTAAAATGACGAATAATACAATTTTTTTTTAAAAAGCAACATGACTAATAGTACATTTTATCTATATTTGAAGGCATACAATTACCAATAATACATTTTTATCGGGAAATTACTAACAATACATTTTTACAGTAGAAAACAAACAATACATTTTATCTGCAGTTGATGGCATACAATTGCGTTAAAAATATTTAAATTTCGGCATTAAATAACTCATAGAGGTTGATATGCCGCAAAACAAAATCAACCAAGCAATAAGTACATCTGTAATGTTCATAGTACGTAATTTGTTCAGTTCTTCTGAGATTTCCCCAGCTTTTGAGACTTTCAGTTTCACATTTGTTCATTATAACTAAATCCGGTTGCTCACCTTAGACTGAACTTCATGGATTCCAGGCTCAAATCTCTGTCACTTGATCAGTCGGTGACTTTCCCCAACAAGTTATTCTTCTCTTGAGATCAATTTGATGCATTATCTTATTATTATATGACAGTTTACTACTACTACTACTACTACTATTTAAAAAAATCTTTTTGAACCGCCTTTGTTTTATAATCGCATGTTGGGTCATAACCAATGACCCAGGGCAAGAAGAAGGATGTGATTTTTTGACGTTTCCATTTATATAAGTGACAACCCCCCCCCAAAAAAAAACAAAAAACATAAAAAAAAGCTAAATAGACAAAGCTCTTTTCAGGATATGGGCTGTGCTTCTTAGTTCAATTTTTGGATATCCTGGAGTGATGCTGCACCGGGGATTGTATTGATTTGTTCTTGAGTTCCTTTGTCTATCAGGCATAAAGCTCCAACCACATGAGGAACACTTTTAGTTTTTAAATGCCACATTTATTGTTATTATTATTAGCAGTAGTCAGTCAGTTATGGGCCATGCGTGATATACGCGTAGGCAGATTTTTTCCCGCAGTAGGTTGCCATTTCTTTCTGCGGTAGGCCAATTGCCATCCAAGACTATAGAACCCGGTCTGTCCTGCTATTTACCCATAGGTGGGAGAAGAACAGGATTCATACCTTTCCCAAGGGTATTAGCATGTAAGTGAATGTAATGAATTCGACTGGAATTCGAACTCGGCTCTCAGATTCCTCAATCCGAACCGCTATACATTACTCCATCGTACCTAATTAGTATTATTATTATTAGTAGTAGTAATACTAGTAAAAACATTTTCTTTCCTTTTTTTTTGGTATATTTTTAACAATCTATTTTATTTTTACGTTTTATTCCGTTCCTTGTGCCGCTTCTCCAATTGTTCGACAGCCATTTTTCATCAGACTTTCCTTACATCCGTCATCTATTTAAAAAAGCATCTTTTTTTTAATATATATTTTGGTGGGATGCAATGGTAGTCTTCCTATTATAGTTATTTTTTTATCGTTATTACTAATATACTGGACACTTTTTACTATTTCCTACCTGTCTTCTTCCCACCTCAATACTTATTCGCGTCTTCTCCCGTATGATTTCTTTTTTACGCTTCTTCGCTATCTTCTTTTATGCGCCATTTCTTAAACTTGACATCTCTTTTCCAATATTTCACACCGACTGAGACAGGCTACCACCACTTCAAAATGATATTTTGATAGAGCTGAACGTCATCTTCTTTTCTTTTCTTCTTCTATTTTAGTTACGCCGTCCAACTATCCATTTGTGGTAGCCATATTTTTTACACAGCCACATACACACGGATGCATACATCAACACATACACACATCAAAGGGTATTCCAGAATGTAATTCCTCCTGTTTTATTATGTTGGTCTGTGATAGCGTGCATTTGTAGCACGGCAGTAGAGGCTGAATCTTTCCATTAACAACCCGTGTTTCTTTTTGTCTTATCACATAGGGCAATCTAGGAAAATGGCGTCTGACATGAAAATGCCTTCCAAGCAGATATATACAATTGAATTCCTCCACTGGGGGAAAATATTGCATCCAATGTTACTCAAATCTGGACTTATACGGAAATCAAATACAGATGTGAGCCCCCTTCGGCGTTGGGCAACATATTTCAGAAATGTCAACAGCAATTTGTGCGAAAAACCATGTTACTGGTTGACCGGCAGAGCTGTTAACCCAGAAAAATGAAGTACATCAGGCAAATGTATAACCAATGGCGTTGGTATGTGTAAAAATACTGGTTTGAATCTGAAAACTTGCTCTATCTCATATTGCTCACGGGCTGATTGAATTGGTTTTAGTTTTCGTGAAAATAAATGAGGCATTATCTTCAAGCGTTCCCCCAACATTGATATATATATATATATATATATATATATATATATATATATATATATATATATATATATATAAGACATTTTTATGTTTATACTTTCTTTTATAAATCCAACGAATACTTTCTATGACAATTTCTCGGACATTCAGGCCGGTAAATGTTGTTAATACTGTTTATTATAAACAGCGCATTTACTTAAATATTTGTATCTATAAAAAGAACATATAAACATAAAAAATGTCTTAAAAAATAATTGTATATATATATATATATATATATATGTGTGTGTGTGTGTGTGTGTGTGTGTGTGTGTAAATTTTAATTAGAAAACAGACAGCCTTAAGGGTCCAATGAATATATTTTATTTCCCCAGGAAGATGATTTTTTCCTGGTTCCTCAGATCACATTTCCAAGCATAAAAAAATGGTTTGAAATTTACGTATTCTTATTATACACTTTTGAGGGGTAGTTTTAAGTTGATGTAAGGTGATGGAGAGTGTGAAGAGTAGGACTATAGATATGGTCGAAATAAGAGAAGGAAGGGAGAGATAGCAATAATTTAAAATCTATTTTTGTTAAAATACTTAATAGTAAGGGAGGGGGTTGAGGACAAGACATTGACCTATTTAATAAGTCATCTCACAGGAAACGAGACAAAGAGAAAAAAAAGAGTAAAAAAGATATAAGAAAGCAAATATGGAAGAAGGGTTGGGAGGAGAAAAAAGTGTGAAAAAAATAAAAGGACGAATAATTAACATAAATAGGCAAATTGTAGTTAAAGCCACCTTCCTGTGGAAATAAATATAATCAATGGACACTTAAGGTTGTCTGTTTTCTAATTAAATTAATATTTGTTCTGGTTTGACATCGAGCTCTCTGGATTACATCCTCTCTCTCTCTCTCTCTCTCTCTCTCTCTCTATATATATATATATATATATATATATATATATATGTACATATTGCCTTATGCAGAAATGATTAAATGATACACAAAATGCTTTTACAGATACACATAAAAATAAAGACATGAAAAAGACACATTTAAACCCGCATTTGCTTGTATTTATAAATGTTTAAATTTTATCTATCTATCTATCTATCTATCTATCTATCTATACTATACATATATATATATATATATATATATATATATATATATATATATATATTTGAACACATTTTTTTGGTGTACAAAATTTTATAATCGCACGGAATAAGCGTAATTTAAAAGGCATTTTTAATGTAAATTCTAATAGCTAAAAACAACTGATTTCGTCCCAGTCTTCTCAAGTTTACTCCTGGGAATTAAAATAAGAGACGTGTAAGAGGTCGTAATGGTAAAAAATTATAAAGATGGTGTCCCATTACGACCCATCTTGTTTATGACTGGGTCTTCCCAGCATAAAGTCGCTAGTTGGCTCTCGACAGTGCTACAACCAGTTTTGTTGCACTTTAGTACTTATTGTATTAAAGATTCCTTCTCCTTTGCTGAAAATATACGTAGTTCCTCTTCAAATGTTGGGTTCATGTGTTCTTTTGGTATATGCTCCTTGTTTACCTGTGTTCCCTTATTTGAGACAATCGTTGTGATATGTTGTACTGTACCTCTTTGTCTCCTCTGGATTTTCTTGAGAGTGTATTTGTTGATCTCATGAAATTCGCCACATCGTCTGTTGAATTTAGTTTTAGCAATAGTATTTATCAGCAGATCGACGGTGTAGCGATGGGTTCACCTTTGGGTCCGGCTCTAGCTAATATTTTTGTCGGTTTTCACGAGGCTACATTACTTTCTCGTATTGATCGTCATCGTTATGTGGATGATACCTTCTACCCCTTTAATAATGAGGTCGAAGCCGACTTATTTCTCACTTTATTAAATTCTGTCCATCCATCTCTTAGGTTTACCGTAGAAAAGGAGTCTAATTGTCTTTCCTTTTAGAATGTTCTGTTCCTTAGGAATAGTGCCAAGTTTTTGATTTCTGTATTTAGGAAGGCTACTTTTTTAGGATT